CTCCGAATAAAATTGCTCTGAATGAAGCTGCTCCGACGGTGAGCGTGCTCTAAATGAAGGCTACTCTAGGTGAAGCTGCTCCGAAGAGTGAGCATGCTCCAGGCAAAGATTGCTCCGATGGTGAGCTCAGTGAGCATGCTTCAGGCGAAGATTGCTCCGATGGTGAGCTGTGTGAGAAAAAGTCCAAAGGAAGGATGCCTGACACGAAAAATGCTATGTTGGGCATACTTGGATATGAAGAGGATGCTCTGGGAGACATGCATGCTGCAGAGGGAGCCTCCATTAGGCATGTCTGGCGGGGGTAGAGCCTAAGTTGGAGTCAAAAACACTGAGAATCAACCTTGATGAAGAGGAAGAGGTTCCAAGGCCTGGACTTAGGGATTTTGGGCTTCCAAAAGGACGAGATGAAGGCTTTTTGAGAATTCTCCATCACCTATTTGTATTTAATTTGCTTAATTCTGAAAACTCACCTAAGCAGGATTCAAATTGGATCGAACTAGACGACAAATGGACCTACTTGATCACACATGGCCCATTAAACCACAACACACGGGAGTTCTCCAAGCGTGGCTTGGGTCCACGAAGCGAGCCCAATAACGTCGCGTGACACCATGGTTGGGTTTGGACCCTTAAATGGGCCTGATACAAAATCAGATATCAATACCTCCTAAACTTTTAATTTGACAATCAACCCCTCGAGTTTGTATAATTATTGCAATGTCTCACATTTTAGTAAATTTGCTCAAATTTTTTTATCGGATTGAAGGGATTAAAAGTTGAGGCATTGACAGATTTATGTTACATTTAAATTGAGATGTTGAAATTTTTCATCGAGCGTGCCTTTTCGACACTAATTAACACAATTATTGTCAAAATGGAGCATATTACAACAATTTTATAAGTTAATGGACAACTTGTCAAAATTAAAAGTCTAGTTAGCAAATTACTAAAACCATACAAGTTTATGGAACAAGTGTGTAAAATACCCATTTAAAAATATTAAAAAAATGGGGATACTTTGCATGATTTAAAATCGTTTACCTAATTAATTTTCTCTCTTCTTTTTTTCCTCCCAACCAAACATAGGTAGCAAAATCCACTAACTAATCCCTCCACTCCCCTCTCCTTCCACTTTTCTACTAAAATTTGGTGGTCTTAAATTCATAGGCCCGCATAATCAGAGTCCGAGATTATATTGTGACACTCCAATAGCCGCAAATCAATAGGATGATTCAAAAGTTTCATACCAAAAGATAATACTTGGTGAAACATTAGCCGACTTTATTATAGCAATCAAACAAGATATTGTACGTTTAACATCTCTATCCACTTGTGTTTATGTCGACACAAGTTGTAGTAGCCGATAAGAGATAATTTGGTCAAAGCATTTGGCATGTTGCGTGGGAATTTGAGTTAGTACTCTTACTAGTACTTCCTCGGTCCTCATCATTTTTGCAAATGTCTAGCCACCGACTTTGAAGCCGTGCGATGTGTGTATGTGTCTACACACACACACACACACACACACATAAGTAGCGACTTGGGAATGCTTTTGCAACTTGTTCACTCACTCTCTCTCCAATATAAAGAGCTCATGTGCTCCTTAATATTGCCTCTTTCCATCTGTTTTACGTGAGCGACATGCAAAATCATGTAATTGGTGTTTGAGAAAACGACTTCTTTGATGTAGAATTATGTGTCCGCCGTCAATGAGCTGTCAGAAAATCCTAGTTGTTTAGTTTAAATAAGTATCCATTAACTAAGTTTGACTCGTGAAATTACTTTTGAACGAAAGTCAGTTTTCGTAATATTAGTAACGCGTGAGATTCTACCCTTTGGTCTATTATGCACCTGGGAAGGCTTTATCAAGCTGGTTAACCATGGGCTAAAGAGGTTGGCTCACTACAAGATTGGGAAGCCTCAGTCGAGCACAAGCTTAGGAAGTTTGCCGAGTAGGGGCTCGGAAAGTTAGCCGAGTAATGAACTAGTTTAAAATACGACATTAAGTTCAAAACTACCTCTCTTAATGCAACACCAAACACATATTTGAACCATACTCATGGGTTCTGTCGGCTGAATCCATGAGTCAAACAACACCTATAATGTATATGTATTTTACTTTATGAAAAATCCATACATCACATAGAAATGTGTTTAGCTAAAGGAATTCCTAGCCCAATTGCTTGTGGGGGTATTTTTAGAAACGCTAGGGAGTTTGTTTGTGGTTGTTTCGGTATGTTCCTTAGGGAAGGTTTTACTTTTGAAGCGGAATTATGGGCTGTGATTAATGCCATTTTTATTGCTTATGAGAATGATTAGCATAAGTTGTGGCTTGAGAGTGATTCTTCCTTGATCATTTCACTTTTAAGTTCTAAGGTTTTTTGGAGGCTTTTGTGATGACTGGAGCAGGGTTCTTTCTTTGTCCACAAGGATGGATTTTGTTTTACTCATGTGTATCGTGAAGTTAATGGATGTGCTGATAAACTTGCTAATTTTAAAATTATTAATTGTAATAGGATGTGGTGGTCTTATTGTCCTAGTTCCTTGGAGTTTTATGTGTATAAGAATTATATAGATTTAATATTTTACAGATTTACTTTGATTTTTGAAATGTCCGTAGTTTATTCTTTTTTCTTTTCTCTAATAATACGAGCCTCAGTTGAAGAAATGTACCACTTTTGTGATATTATCTTGCCGCACATTTTGATTTTCTACGACCTTCTTTACTTTTAACAAATAAAACAAATATATGATTCTAAAATTCGAGATTTTTATATATTTTTTCCCAATATTTGAGAGGACATCTTAGAGTGTCAGTATATTTTGTTGTATAGGTATAGTTAATTAGATTAAATTGAAATAAATCTAAATGATTTAACATACAACTAATTAAAATCAAAATTATCATTATAATACTTAAATATGGTTAATTCATGAACACATTGTTTTTTTTTTTTTTTTTTTTTCCAAATTAGGGATTATTTCCATAGCATAACAAATGATGATTATTTTGAGGGCACATTTACCAAATCTAATAGGAATACAATAATTGAAAAAGGTAATAAAATTGTGAGACTGTAAAAGCATATGAATTGAGATTATTAATCCTCTTCTAGTAGCTGGAAGTGTGGCCAACGAAAAATGTTGCACTCTAATTCTATGTTTGGTAGGAATGAAAAGTTAAATGAAGAAAAAATGTAGGAGGTTTTAGAGTGGAAATGGACAAGCTGCGTGAACTTACATGATCCAATGGATTTTTATATATTTAAATGGTGTAATAGGAAATAATTCAATTTATTTTCTAATGTTTACTAAATTTAGAAATAATAATCCTATTAATGTAATTATTAAAATATTCATTTGCATAATTAATTACTCATTGGTTTATAATATTGTGCGCGAGTGTAGTCGTCACGATGTATAAGTAAATTTGATAATTATTCTTTTTACATTAAGATTAAAACTAGGGAGTGTAAGAGTTGACATACCTTTTCTTATTTTCTATATAGTGTGCAACCTCTTAAATTTTCATATTGGTTATGTGTTTAAATAAGTAATTAAATATGACTGAAAATCATTGAAAATAAACGCGTTATAAAAGTACAGTAATTCCAAACTAGCATTATGTAAACCTTTAGGCACAATTCGAATTAAATTGTTTGGTTCAAATAACTAAACCAAACATGGTGTACATTTTTTCAATTTTTCCCCAATTATGATGAAGAAAGACGAGGATAATTACATTGATTAAATATTTCTAATATACCCATCTTTGTAAAACTATTCCCTAAACCCTTCTTAAGAGGTTTTATAGCCCATTTATTTTGCTGATTTTAACCACAATTTAATTATTTTTTATAATATTTTCTCTTAACAAAATTTGATTTTTTTTTTGTCAGATATAAATTTAGTAAATGATTATTGTATCTTGAAATATCATTTTGTCATAGAAGAAAAAATAAGTATATTCTGTCCCCTCTTTATAGGTAGGCCGTTTACTAGTTAATTATTCTCTAAAAATATTGTTCATTAATAAAGCAAATCACAACTTGTATAATATAGGGCAGAAGGACAATGGTTTTCTACCTGTAAAAACAATGGTCTCTAGCGCAGTGAAAAATTCGATGCAAGAGAAAAATATCCATTAAAATTGCATTTTGGCATCAACGTTAAATTTTGACAAAACAACTTTTACAATTACCTAACATAAAATATAAAAAAGACTTTTTATTAAATAAAATAAACTACAAGAAAGATTTATCTCAAAAAAAAAAAAAAAAAAAAAAAAAAAAAAGAGA